CAGTTGGTTTAATTGTAGATATTGTGTATTTCCTAAGATGAACTGTAACACTAACACGAATCCTAAGCCTGAACTAAACATTCACGAATCACTATATTCTACAAAACGTATATATCCTTATTGGTAAGATTGGATTTAATTTTCTTCTAAATGTAGTTGACTATTTCTTATAAATAACTTCAAACCTGTCTCTAACTTTAACCCTACCACAAATCCTGTCTGCCACAGTTACATTCGTTTCGAGAATTGCTCGATTCTGCTATTTCCTAAGAAACATTCGTTTCGGGAATCAAACTATTGTTCACTTTATATATATATGTACTAATAAGTCGGAATTTAATTTTATGGTAAAGGTAATCGACAGTTTATGAATATCTGTAACCCAAACCTTAATCTAATACTAACCCTCCCTTCCATTGGTACATTCGTCTAAGGAATCACATTATTCTACACTGAATAGATATCTTCATTAATAATCTTAACTATAATATTCTTATAGTTATATCTGCCTACTTCACATGAATATCTATAGCCCTAATCCTATCCACTATCACTATCCCCCTCTGTAATTTTGGGAATCACACTACTCTTTAGCTTCTTTTTTAAGATTGTATCTATTTTTCTTATATGAGCGTATTTCATACGAATATTGGCAACCCAAAACCTATCCATATCCCTAGCTCTAATCCTATCCACCTCTAATATATTGGTTTCGGGATTGACACTAATCTATACTGAATAGATATCTACATTTAAACGATTTAATCTTTTTGAAAATGTAGTTTCATATTTCTTATGAATATTTGTAACCCTATTCCTTCCCGTAACTCCATTTTCCTCTAGAATTTTCGTTTCGGGAATTCACATTATTCTACACTGAATATTTATAGTTATTATTAAGATTTGAATGTACTATGCCGATGTAGTTGCATATTCCTAAGAACTCTGTCCCTTACTATATATATATATATATATATATATATATATATATATATATATATATATATATATTAGTTACGATTGTTGACGTTACTGTGGGTCTTCCTTTCATCTTCCCTGTTCATCTTTTAGACCATGCTGAATATTTATATTAATACGAATGAAGGTTAATTGAGTTTTGGCGCGGTATCTTAATTACAAAATGTAGACTTAAACCTAATTCTACTCTTATCACTCATCCTTACCTTATGTCATATCATTCCTTTTGATTCATTTTTCAGACTGGGCGGAAAAGATATCTCTAATAATACGGATGATGACTTGATCGTTAATGTATTTGCCTATTTTTTTTAACCCTAACCGTAAACTTATCCCTAACTCTATCTTTCCCTAAACCATTGAATTCCTGTGTCAGACTAAGTCAAGCTGAATAATCCATATAATCCTCAATAATATAGTAGTTGCTTATTTCCTAACCCTTTTAGTGATAACAAATATATATGAAAACAATAAACAATAACAACGAGACCAAAATTCCACCACCTCTAAAAATAGATGTATACTCAGAATCGTTAGTTCATGAAGTCATATTTTGACTAAGTAATCAAAAACCGTCAAGACCAGGATATGAACGTCATTGTCAAGCGAGCCAATTAATGACAAGACCTGTTCCTAACAAGGATATGTTCACTGGTCGTGGACCAACCAAATGGTAATCGTCAGTTTTGTTACGGATCTCCTTGTGTCGCTAGCATACGTATATAATGAGACGGACAGTCGAACAAAATCAGAATAGATGAATTCTCCAATGCTGCAGTCATCGTAACATACCAAGAGCCGAAATACGATATCCATCCGTACATTCTAGTATGGACTCACGCACACACACACACATAGCTCCCTCCTTTTATTTACACAGGTGAGTAAGATGTCCACTGTCACACATACATATTCCCTTGTACATTTTACTCAGGCGACTACTAGGTCTGAATATAATAATGGACTCTCCCGTCGGTTTCGACGTATGAGGATCTGACAGCTTAAGTGATTCAGTTATGAAATTTTGTGTGATAATCTTAAGTGGCATTTAAAACCCGCTAGTGATTTACAAAGGAGGCCACATATGGAGTAAGTGTGAGGATTGTGAGATGAGATCATTGTTAGATTGGCTGACCTTTTAGATCTTGCTATCGCTTCTTGAAGATGATTCAGACAAGCAGATTGAAAACTGCTGAGTCCACTAAAACACGTTGATCTCCATTTTACCCGCTCCAAGGCTAAGCGCTCAAGGGTGTTATGTGGTATATTGATAGCTGACAAGTTGCTTTTCAGCTTGTCGTTGTATTCAGCCAAGGGCGTTCTACATTCCTGTAGCCCTGATCTAACTGGCTGTACATAGGGATTTTAGGTATTCTGTCATCAGACATTCTCAAGACATGGCCAGTCCACCCTAACTGAGACTGTATAAGAAAAGTCTCGATTCCTCCAATATTACACCTGTTAAATAGGTCTGCGTTAGATGTCCTGTCTTGAAGTTTAAAACCACAGATTACACGCAGACAGCTTTTATGAAAAACATCTAGCTGGTGTATACGGTACCTGTATGGAGTCCACGACTCTGAGCCGTACAAAAGGATGGCAAGTACAACAGCTCTGTAAACCCGAATTTTCGTATCCAGTCGAATACCCCACTCATTGCACAAGCGATGGTGAAGTTTGCTGAAAACACTGGTAGCCTTAGCAATCCGATGCATGAATTCATGATCTAAAGTTCCACTGTAGTTGACTTTGCTACGAAGATAGGTGAAAGACTTTACATAGTTCAGGGCTTTGTATTCTACTTTCAATGGTCTCTCTGGAAAATTGTAGACTGGTGGTTTTTGTTTCTCAACATAGAATTGCTTGGGAGTAGGACAAGATTGGTGCACTACTTCAGTTTTCTTTATGCTAAGTGTAAGACCAAAGGCTTTACATGCTGCAGAAAAACGATTTATTAGATGTTGGTCCTCCTGAAAGGATGTCGCTACAAGAGCATCAGCATCAGCAAACAACAAATCACGAATAATTTACGTACGAAAGTAGGTCTTGGCTTTGAAGCGCTGATGATTGAAGAGACCACCAGTTTCCGAAACTGAAACTTGACGCCACATCTCTGTGTCTGCAAATGCATATTTCCAAAGAGCCTCTCGATTCACAGTATCAAAGGCCTTCGTCAAGTCCACAAACATCCATGTACAACTCCTGGTCTTTCTCGCGAATCTTCTCTACAACTTGAAAAAAAATTGCATGTCAATGGTGCCACGACCCGACCGAAAACCACACCGCGATTCAGGATAGATGTCGACAACAAGGTGTATAATGATTCTGAATATATATATCTGATATATTTTGTAACTTTGGATGCTGGCCATCGTATGAGCGTTCAACGAATAACCATAAAGTCTCCAGTTCTCATTAATTCGTCACTAGTAAGGTCAATTTGGTAGTATTAGAACGAGCGTCATTATGCAGTAGAATTACATCATTTAGTCGGTAATGTTTATTAAACTACACAATTTCAAACAATCTTACATATTTATGTGTATTCACGTGGTCATTTTATAACGAATGTAGGATGACACAAAACATTTCTACTGTATTCCATTAAATTCTCCCCTCAAATTTCCACATTCCTACCTAGATATATCTGGATTACAGAAAGTTTTTTTTCAATTAGTGTACAAAAATGATGGCACCATGGACATAAAATGTATTAGGTATTTTGATAAACTTCGTGATTGAAGATGTTTTGGATCAGAGGAAAAAGACAGTTGAAAGATCAATTGACCGCATAGTACTGAACAAAACAAATTAAGAGATAAAGAAAGGTTTGTAAATAGAAAAAAACGAGTGGAAGATAGACAGACAAACAGACAGATGAGACAGACAGGCTGGTTTTGCAAGAATCTGAAATTGCTACAGCATAGAAAGTTAAAATGTTTCTCCCTAAGTTGGTAGCCTGTCGGCATTCATAATTAGAATTTGAAATCATGAATCTTAACTGTTTGAAGTGAGAAATTTGATGCAATTTCCGTTAAAGCGAGCATTTCAGACGGATATACAGCTGGATAAATACGGAATTAAATAGATATTTGGAAAGAGGTGGGTCGAACCTGATATCTAGCTAGCTAGACAGATAGATAGCTCGTCAAAAAGCTAAGCTATGAAAAACAGGGATTAATGAAAAAGAAGACGGAGGGTGTATAAGAAAAGTTTCTTGTTTCGAAAGAATTAACAAATAAATAGGCAGAGTCAAGGATACACGGATAATGAAACAGATTGATAAGAAAGCACGTGCACTCAGCGCACAAACGCATTCATACTCTCTCTCTCTTTCCCTCTCAAACACATACGCATTCATATTCCATTTAAAATATAGCTGTTTATAGTCAATCAGCTATTGCGTAATCAAGGTGAAATAGTAACCAGCAAAACACAGATTTAGTAGAACATCTATGCTCTCAGGTTGTGTGCCATTTATATTTTATGGTAACGTTTAATTCCCATGAGAAACGAAACATTTAAGAAGTATATTTGCAATTGCAAGCTATATGGATTTTGTAAAGACAAGCGAAACACAGACGATGAAGCATATTTGTAGTGTGTACCAAGGTGCAATCACAGCTTAAATATCAGTGATAGTTTAACAATATAAAAATGGTGATTATGGTCTGTCCAATATGGCTCAATCTGAAAGACCAGCTATTTTGAATAACGATTAATATAATAATAATTATTTCAAGACTGGTGATTAATTGAAGAAGGTAGGCAAACCTTGTGAAATTATAAACAAATCTCAAGAAGGAACAGTGTTCAATATTCAACCATCTGCAAAGATTTACTGACTAAACAAGAAAACCATCCATTTCGTTAACGTTTCATGACGCAATAGAAGAAATGGATTCGGCATAAAAAATTCAAAAAGCAGAGGTTATTACCTTAATTCAAAGCAACCTTGATACTGAATTTAAGTGCTGTTAGGTATCACGTGTAACCTGATACGATACGCCGACTCTACGGACTTACGGCCTTATCAATTTGAAACACAGGTTCTAGTACGATCAACAAAGTTAAACAGCGTCGCACGTAGTCAGTATTTCGATGTGTGACCGCTTGGGAATACCAGGTGTTGTAAGATTGGATGTGCGAGTGGTGTAATAGATAACAGCTCGGAATTGGAAGTTGGAGAGCCGAGTTTCAATTCCAGTCTGGAACGTTATATTCACTTACACGCAAATACCATTGGGAAATGTCTGAATCCATTTCATCTCCGCCAGCTATGGTTTAATTAGTAGAACTTGTATCAAAAACTCACTGTTATTGTAGAACTTGTATCAATAACTCACTGTTATTTCAAAAAATCTCTTTCAATCTAGCTTTAAGTGACCCGCAAGAGGTTCATCAACCGTAAAAGAAAAATCAATCAGTCGATTATACGATACGAGAACCAGGAACATATCACATCAGGCATATTCTTTGTTAACAATCGTGTTAATCGTTTATTTCTCTAGAAATCTATAATGCTGGTGAAAAGAAAAGCTATCATCCTCTCGAGTAAGGATAAAATAAATACGGTCATGGGGAAAGAAGAAAGTTGACACAATCGAGATGAAAAAAGGAGGCCAAAAACAAATTGGGAAGGTTGGAAATCTCGACTTGGATCATAACCAAAGTAGACGCTCACACTTAAACAAAACCATCTGATATAATATCATTAAGCTGGGAAATGTTATCTTAACTTCTTTCGTCATCAGACGTGGCAACTTTAGATTAACGTTTCAGGTAAAAGAACATTTTCTTAGTGCTAGAATATTCAGAAAGAAAGAATACGTTAATTTGAGTGATTCAGCATTCTTTTTGTTGTGGAGTAGCTGAACACCCCCACCCACGATGGACGGGTCTAAGATTATTTAAACGGCACTCTCTCTTACTGAGCGAGAGTAGTGAATGCTTACGGGACCTAACTGGGGGTGGTTATTGGGAATAGGTGATCAAAGAGGCTTGAGGATAGTAATAGTTCCTTCACCACCGAGTTTAGCAAACGGCTCGCACTAAACAAGCTTAACAAGGTGAAGGGGCTTAAGGATAATCTTAGAGTGGGTCCTAGCTATGGAGACCCTGGAGCGTTTGGCTAGCAAGCGCTACATGGGTCAGGTAATTAGACATAATTTGAGCAAGATGTCTTTAAAAGCTCTGAAAATAGGCGCAGAATTGCACAAGGAAGAGATCCGCCGAGGTTCCGGTCGCTACATTCGGGAGGAATCTGAATAACAAGTCTTTCAACGGGGGCTTGACGGATTTGCCAGACTTTCAACGCTGTGACTTTGGCTTAGAGGAAAATACGTCGCACTCCTCTACCATATCTTCGTGTGTGCCCCTTATGGGACAATGTCGTCGAGTTGACTGCTTGTATTGCTCCCGAAAAGCTCATGCCCATTGATTGCGCATACGCGTGTGACACTGTGCCGCTCGGTTGAAACGGATGTTGTTTCTATCGTTGCTGGCCACGGCCTGAATGGTGATTCGGACGACGCGATTGGAGGGAGTCTTGCGAGATGACTGTTATTCTCATCAGGATCTAATCCGAAGTTTTGAGCATCAGCTCAAGATGAGCTGATAGAAAACGATTGATTTCGACAGATTTCAGCAAAAGGTGGGTGATTGAGGCAAGCCTGGTTCGTGTGAACGAGGCTAGACTTGATTTTATGTATAGGACCAAATAAGTCACATCGGTGTGGTTTCCTGTGGAGTTCTCCCTTGATTAGGATAGACCCTTTTTTGTGTAATGTTAATGCGAGTAAATGTCGTTCCAGGCCTGTTCCCCGCTTCTACTTTGGTTATGATCCAAGTCAAGATTCCCAACCTCCCCAGTTTGTTTTTGGTTCCCTTTTTCCATCTCGACTCGGCTGGAGAAATATTGGTCAGATTTACTGGCAAAGATCGGAGTGGCGGTCGCGACTTGGCTCTGCAGGAGTTTGTCATTGAAGGGTAGGGCTGAGGCATGTCCCACTTCTTTCCTCTCATCCTTTACCGGTTGTCTGTACTTTCTTTCTTTAAGAAGCGTAAGAAGTTTGTCGCAAGCATCACGTCGACAGAGATGCCTGTGCCCAACGTCCGAGAGGCTGAGAATGTAACACTTGACGAGTCATCGACACGACTCTAGGTTGGCTTTCCTACGCCGCGCGTTGACAGATCCCCCGATCTTGGAGGTGTGTGTGAGAACCACCTTCCCTCACCTTACTATCACTTCTTGCGTTCCTAGGGCTGCGCGCATTCGTAAGTCTTAGATGCAGTGGAGTTTCCTTCTCGAGTGTCTACCAGCTTTGAAGATCATTCCTCGGTCCAGCGATTTCTCTCAGCCTAGGAGAATCCTGTAACGGAAATTAGTGGAAGGGTCGCGAGGGATCATTTCTGTGGGCGGTTCGACTTCTTGGCGGCCGAGTTGCGCTCTTTTTGATCCTGGACGTCAGCGGCGGACTACTTCTGCAACTCTGAGTTTTCGCATACCTGGCGATTGGTTCAGAATCTCACAATGACGTAGCCATGATGGGGCTCGGCATATTTGCCTGACTGTCATCGATGTGACCTTGGCTAAGAAGAAATGGCTTCGCACACCTTCTACCAATGTCCTCGGGTGCACTGGGTCTGGAACTATGTCAGCGAGTTGACGGTTCGTATCGCTCCCGAAATCTCGTGCTCACTGATCTCGCATACGCGGGTGACAATCTTTCGCCCTCGTATTCAGGGCTGAAGCGGATGGTGTTTCTGGCACTGCTAGCCGTGGCTAGAATGGTGATTTGGACGACGCAGAAGGAGGAAGTCTAGCGATGTTAACGCTATTCTCATCAGGATCTGCCCAGATTCTTTGAGTATCAGTTCAGGATGAAGATCAGAACTGATAGAAAGCGTTTGGTATCGAGAGATTTCCGAGAAAGTTGGGTAGCTACGTCAAGCTTTATTCGCGTGAACGGGGATGGCCTTGATTTTCTTTTTTAAAGCACCTCTAATTAACAACGGGGCGGTTTTCTGTGGAACCCTCCCCTGGTTAAGATAGACACTTCTTGCATACCTAGCTTATGTGAGTAAGTGTCGTTCCCAGCCTTTTCCCGGCTTCTTCTTTTGTTATGATCTAAGTTGAGATTCAAAACCTCTCAATTTTGGTTTTGGCCTCCCTTTTTCCTCATTCTCCCTGGCCCGTATTTATTTTATTCATAAAAAAGCCTCTTGATTTTGTCTGAAGACAAAATAAAGCGGCCATTCTTATTTTTCAGGGGTGGACGTTTCTTACTAACATCAATTTTTTAGTTTATTTTGTTTCAGGTTCGACCCATCCCCATCATTTCATACCATCGATAAAGTTTTATGTATAATTCTATACACAAAGAAATGGTGTTTATTGTAGGTTTCGTAAGAATTTGTGGTATGGAAGGATTGAATGATGACGGATGAGTTTTTGTGATGAATGAAAAAAATTTATTGAATGAATGGGTCGTGATTCTGTTTAGCTAGGTATATGATACTGTGTTGACCAACCTCAACCCAATTTCCTCTTTTTGGCCTTGTGCCACAATTTCTCTGTTTATACAGGAATAAATAATGCAGTTGACGATTATGGAGGACGGCTGACGCAGGTTTCTGTAGTTTTTCTTTTGCCAGACAAACGGTTGACCTCACGAGGATATTATTTGGAAATTTTTTTTGTTAAGTTTTTATTTCTGTTTTGACAAAGATGTTTCCTTTTTGTTGATTATATTTTTCGTTTTCAGTTTTGTTACTTTCTTTAGGCTGCGACCGAATTTGTTTTAATTTTTGTTTACCTCATAGTTTGTTTTTCTTTGCGTATTTTTTCTTACGTTGGACTTTTTTTTTTTTGCGACGGACTTGTATTTTCCGTCCGTCTTATTTTTATATTTTTATTTTTTTCTACATTTTATATTCGTTTGTGCTTTTTACTTTTATTTGAACTTTATGGCCGGAGGAAAAAAGAAAATTATTTTTTAGTGTAAAAGAAAATTTACAAAGATGGCCGACCATATCGGACAATAAAAAATTTATTTGTGTCTGCCACTAAAGCAGATTCACTAGACAAAGAAAAGGAGACTGTTCTCCAACCCCAACCGACAAAACAAAACAAAATTCACTGAAGGTGTGGCTTATAAGGGAAAGGATAATTTACTCACCCCTGTTATAGAGAAGTCTAAAGAAACGGAAAAAGACACTAGGTCTAGGATGGCGGCGGACAAAGTCAGCGGTGTAGCAGCGGGAGATTCAATCTCTATTGATGTGGCGGAGTTTAAGGAGAGAACTAAATAGAACGCTCAGCTGGTTACCGATAGCGGGCTTTTGGCAGACCTCGATGCACAAGAGCACATTGCAGAAAGAATAGTGTCAATCTTTGTGTTCGACAAGTTCACGCGCAAAATTTGTCGGTGCACTAAAGGCACTGATGAAAGCTCTGGTTAAACCTCAACAAATAATTAAAGGTCTAGGTTATTACATGTGGGATATATTATTGCACAGCCAGAGGGCTGTGAGGATGTAACGGCTCGTGATTTGATTACAAAAGACAATATAATGCGCACAGAGTACCGAAGACGGCTTAGGACGAAGATGACGGTATATGAGATTCCTGATTATATGCTTGGAGAGCGCTTAGGGTCATATCTTGTGGAATATGGCCAGCTAGTAAGTGTTACTCCAGAGTATGAGACAGGTGAGTGTGGGGGTTTGAGTGAATAATAGACCGAGAATCCTTTACCTCCATTTCCAACAGCTTGGAGGTAGGCGGGAATAATTACCCCCTCATCGTGACAGTGAGGAAACCAACCTGTTGGAAGTGTGGCGTGACTTGTCAACTTGCTCCTTCTTGCCTAGAGAAAAAGGCCTCTAGAGTCCCGCCTAAGTCCAATACCCCTCGAGCTGAAACTACTTGTTCTGCGTCGACTGCAATAGGCCCATCTGTACCGGTATTTAAAAAGCCTTGGTTGGTTCTCTTCCAGCGTCCACATTCCCTCCCAAAAAGAAGGTGGAAGAGAAGCAGGAATTTCAGGTCATTGGTGGAGCAAGAGGAAAGGCCGTAGCTGCGCGATCTCAGTTCCCTGAAGTCCCCAGTTGCAAAGTAGTTTGAGAGGTTGG